TTTTTTCACATTTCCCATTCATTTCAATGTGGGGTCATATTGACCCCAAGGGACAGATTTGTAAAAAACAAAGGTTTTTACATACCTTCAGAACAACCGAATCAAGCCCAGTTTTTTATGTGAATATAGATATAAAATGTTGAAAAGTCACAAAATCTTATTCCACTGAAATGATGGGAACCATTTTCTTAAACTAAGCAAAAATTGATTGGGGTCATATTGAGCCCAGGGGATGATTGAGAGTTAAATACTCTCATTATGATTACAGTCACCATCACCTGATCCCAATAAATCTTAGTTTTCATTGCCTCAACAAATGTATTTTAGAACATTGTTATAACAGACTTATTGTGGGTTATAACAATGTCCTACAATACATTTGTTGAGGCAAACATAACAATAAAGTTCAAGAGTCAAGAGCCCAACTAAAGCAAACACTGATCACAATAATGGTGCTTTGTTGATATTTCAAAAAAAAATTCAACATTAATTGCCGTGAAAAAGTAATTTTGATACAATGCAATTAACATTGACAAATCAACAATTTTTAACATTGATTCAATGGTTGCTTGCTATCAGGGTTTGGCAAGGACTGTATTATGAGTAGGTGGAGCATTGAGAGACTATTGAGACTTCCGTGTTATCGTCTGTGCTGTGGTGTATTAAAATAAACTTGTTTCTGGTGATTGAGTTGAATGTTGTTGTTCACTGTAAAGTCTGTGTAAATATACTTACACAGATTGTGAATAGTGTTAGCAGCAGATAGGAATCTGTAAAGAGTAATCAGCAGTCTCTCTATTTAATTAGTTATTTATTTTTTTGTGGAATCTCATGCATGCATCACAGGCAGGGTTTGAAATTAACTTTTTCACTCACCAGCCAATTTGGCTACTAAATTTTTTAATTACCGGCCATTCATAATTTCTACTAGCCAAAAAAATTAAACAAATAAATTATGAAAAAAAGGCCGGAGGTAAGCCAACAGCTTTAGGCTGTCCACAGACTTTATTTCTGGAGTATCTAAAACAGAGGTTCTTTATTGAGAATTAATGTTTAGATGTTTTTTTTTCTTCAACTTACCGTTTTTGTGAATAGTGGTTGCTTTAGTTGCCTCTTGACCCTTGACATGTTAAAGTTAAGTCTCTCTTTGGCTGGCACAGTTTTGTGTATTAAACACATATGTGATGGGAAGGAACTTATAATAAAATCATGTCACATGTCTGAGTCTCTGATTGCAATTTATCTAAAACTAGTGCTTTAATGATCTCTATGACTTTGCAGAAAAGTTAAGAGAAAAACTTCATGTGACTTTTATAAATATGGCTAATAAAGAGATTTCAATTCTGGCACTCATAGACATGAGGAATCAGCATGTGAATCTCAGCAATGGTGACAAAATATTCTGATAATTTTTGTGTGATTTTTGAACGTGGCAAAACAAGGCAGTAAAAAGTCACAACAAAAAATAAAAGCAAATAGTAAAAATAAAAGCAAATACTAAACAATGCAGCTGCATAATTTATTCATGTCACAA